TATTTAATGGGTCAGATATGGTACATGTAGTTCCGACCCGTTTGAGACCCGACCCGTTAGTATTTATTTATTTGTATATATACATTAGTCTAATATACATATTACATTAGTTGTCGCCCACATTACGATTTAGTTTAATAAATCCGAAGAAGAATCCCTAAAGACCCTTGATGGATAGTGTACCCGGGGGTAGCTTATCCGAGGGTTATTGCGGAGAATAACTAGAGAGAAGTCAGAGCAAATAAGTAAGAGAGAGAGTGTGTATTCGAATATGAAAGTTGTGTTGCTTTACAATGGAGAATGGGATGCTATTTATAGCAGCAATGAATGCTAGATAGGGACACGTGTCAATAATCTGGTGGTCGACGAGTCACCTCAATCGGGGTGGCATCGGCATTTGCATGTGGCCGCATTAAATGCGGTGGTTGGATGTGATGTTGTACTTGGTACAGTGATTCAGGCGCATGTGGAGAGGATATTCTGTCGAGGGGAGTGCCTTCGGCTGAAGGGTGTTGGTCGAAGGCTCTTCTAACCGGGGGCCTCCCAATACCGAGGGCTGTATATGCCGAAGGCTTGGTTTTCAAGCCTTGTTCTCCTGTGATGTTTCTGAGCTCAACTCTGTCAATGGTAGCCTTCGGTCATGGGGCCGAAGGCACCCCCTTGCGTATTGTGGGCTGCTTAGAACTTCATTTTGCTGGGCTTGGCCCGTTTGGTCCTGTTGGGCCTGATTGTAGTTTTGGAAGTATGTGGGTCGGGGGTCTCTGGGCCATATAATCCATCAGGAGTCCCTCACTCCTTTTGCCGAAAGGTACTTGAGGGAAAAGGAGTAATAGCGTTTATCCACTGATGCTGGTGTTTGTTTCGCTGTAGTTTGTAAATTTGTAGAAGGTTTGCATCTGCATGATCTGCCGGGGGCAGTCCCTCCCTCCTTGAGGATCATATTGATAAGATTTTAACATTTCGTGATTCTCCAATCCCCAACTCCTTGAGGCACATGTAATGTGGTGAAAAGGAGTAGAACAGTGTCTGCCTTCAGTATAGGACCGAGGGCTGACGCTTTTCGTTTCATTTTGGGGGGATGCCTCGTTAAAAACCTCATTAGAAAGGAAAAAAACCCTATGGGAAAAAACCTAATGAGGGAAAAAGAGTGCACCGAATTCCCCCAATGATGAATAAAAAAGGTGAGCCCATGGTTTGAGATGAAGAGCAATGTTAACGCCGAGAGCTATCCGTGATCTGGGGGCTCTCTCATTGATTGGCCGGAGGCACCTTGAGGATATTCCGGGAATGCCGAGGGGAGTCCCCCAGTCATTAAGGGCTGAGGGTGTGACGAATGCAAATGATTGTTCTTGTGTTGCCGAGGGGTTCCCTGGTTCTCAATATATTGAGGGCTAAAAGTTCCCGAGGGGTTCCCTGGTATTCATGCCAGGGACTTACCTCTTGATGAGGGGGTTTGAATTTGCCGGCCCGGGGGCTCGCTGTGTTGTTGGTTGAATGGTGCCAGCAGAGGGTGACTCTTTAATCTGAAAAATAGCCGTTGGGGACATGACCGTTGGGATATGACTGTTAGGATATGACCGTTGGAGGTGGGGTCCACGTGGCGCGTGCTCGTTGGCTGCCTGCGGGCGGGTGTCACCGGTTGACTGAAGCGGCGGTTTGTAATGATGATTTTTGTATCCGGGGGCTCAATTCTCGGCCCAGGCCCGAAATGGAGAGCCTATAAATACCCCAAAGGCCTTCTATAGTATTTTAGAAAATACTATAGAAAATATTCTATATAATAGGAAAGATCAAAGGTTTAAACATTTGTACAAATTAGTGTATATTTTTGGGAAAAGTACGGAAAAGGTACTTGTGCTTGAACCCGTTTTTAGATAGGGTCATGTGTTTCATTCTTTATCAAAGTGGTTCATGTGTTTGAATTCCGTTATCACAAGATGGTGACGCCGTTAAAAACGTCTGAAAAAGACCGTTAAAAGTAACTCCGATTTTCAAAAGTGCCCGAAAAATTAAAAGAAAAATACCGGAAGGTCCACAAAATCCTTTTATTACCTTGCTGCCCAACCCAGTTCGTATTGAATTTAATTTTGATTTATTTAATATTCCTTTTATTAGATGACTTATTTAATTTTCTGTTTTATTGAGAGGTTTTGGTTTTGGTCCCCCTCAAATTTGCATTTTTCTCTCTTTTTAATAAAATCCGGTAAATGTTCCCCGGTATTTATCCCACTGATTTTGGTGGCTTACCCCGGGGTAAAAAAAAGTATACTCTCGTATGATGTACTCCATATATTACAAACTACTCCCTCCGTCCATCAAAGTTTGTCATAGTTTGACTTCACAAGTTTTAAGGAGATGAATTTGACTTTACACTGTAGCGACACTGTTTCACACTGTAGCAACAATGTTTGACACTATTTGGTGTAGATATGTTTACCAAATAAGGAAGTTGAAAAAGTAGGACAAACATTTTGGGACATCTATTTCGGGACAGAGGGAATATTACGGAGTATTAGCTATATACTTGGATGTCATTGGGTGTCGATTGTGATATTTTTCTGATAGAGGTGGACCCAAGCGCGACACAAATAAATTTGATTTGAACATATTTCAATCTTGATAATTAAAATTTCTAGCTTGCCATTAAACTCAATTCAAGTCAAATGGAGCTCCCTAACTATTTTTTTATTATGTATTCTTTTTATGTCTTAGTGATAGAAGCAATTGTTATGCATCCGTTAAAAAATAAAATCAAGATTTAAAACTCAATAGATTTGACTCATTCAGTCATTTGTAAGCTCAAAGAAATGGTTCCACGTTTCAATCTTTTCTCTACAACATCCTATACATTCTTATACTTTTTACGCTTATTAACTCTAGAGTATAGTTAAGAAATAAGAATGTTTTACCATTTCGGAAAATAATTTAAATACTCCAAACTTTGAACATGTGTGATGTAAGCATCCTAAACTTTCATATGTAATATTTATACCCCGAACTTTATATAAAAAGTAATATTAATACTATGAACATATATTTTTTTCTTTCACAATGTAAATTTATGATGCTTTAAATGCACCTCTATAAATGTTTACGTATTTTAAACCATGTGCTTAACACCATAAGTTTACATTTTTTAATAAAAAATACAAAATAATGGTGCTAACATAATTTTTTATGTAAAGTTAGGAGTATATACATTACATATGTAAGTTTGGGTGCTTACCTCACACTCCTTTAAAGTTTGTGAAATTTAAATTAATTTCTTCTTACCATTTTGATGAAAGAGTGGTAAAACTATCAAAAGAATGTATGTGCGTTTATTATTCTATGTACCCATTTTGACTCATTTACCTTCATATCCTTACTAATAATAATATATGAACATTTATTAATGGGAAAATGGGCAAATAAGGCACTCGAACTAAACGAAAAAGTGCAAATCATCAATTTTATAGGAGGTTCTGTCCGGGCGTCGCCATTTGGGGCGGTTACCGGTGGAATTGTTTACCCATACCAAATTTCAGCTAAAACTTCAATCGGGAAGGCAGTCAAATAAATGTTTGAAGATAACTGCGCAGTTAAACAACGCAGTATATTTCAGATGATCATTTGACTGTCTTCCCCGTTGAATTTTTAGCTGAAATTTGGTATGGGTAAACTAGACTTAATGAAGAAGATGCTCAAAACAATTCATCAAAAAATTCCACCGGGAACCTCCCCAAATAGCGACGGCCGGAAAAAGCCTCCTATAAAAGGGGTGATTTACACTTTTTCGGTTAGTTCGGGAGCTTATTTGCACCTTTTCCCTTTATTAATTACTCCCTCCATCCCAGAAAATTCTTCCCACTTTGACTTGGCACGGAGATTAAGAAAGTGGAATAAAGCGGAAATGTGTGGTTGTAGTTGTGTAAGAAAAAGGTGAAATGAATGTGAACCACACAAATTGTCCAAAAATGGTAAGTGAGAAGAATATTTTGGGACGGCCTAAAAAGGAAAGTGGGAAGAATTTTATGGGACGAAGGGAGTATATATCTACATGAGATGTATATTTATATCTAGGGCCTGTTTGGTAACATTGAAATTGGCTGAATCAGTTGATTCTGCTGAAATTTATGAAGTTCTAGCCGAGTGATTGATTCTATTTAATATAATTTTTGTTTATAAAATAAAGAAAAAATTGTATGATAAATAACTAAAATAGTTCTCTACAAGTCTACCATAACTTTCGTCAATGGCCAATGCAACTAGAAAAGTAGTTTCATCCTTACTTATTTTAATTATTACACAACTCTGTGCACGAAATCAAAAGTTACGCATTTAATGAAAAGATTACTCCCTCCGGTTCTAAATAAACTTCACACTTTCCTTTTTGGGTAGGTCCAAAATAAACTTCACACTTCTTCACTCTTCCTTATTTGGCAAATTATCTACACTAAAATAGTGCAAAACAGTGCCAAACAGTGTCACAACAGTGTACTCTACAGTAAAGTCAAATTTATTTCCTTAATTTGTGTGAAGTCAAAATGTGAAATTTATTTAGCACCGCAGAGAGTAGTTGATAAGGCTATATAAGTTGAAAAGCGCGATCATGAAATGAGTCCTTAATGAACAATAAATAAATGTACACACAATGTGTGCATCTAGGTTATTTGTCTACATTCTAGTTTGGCTAAAGGGTCAAATAGATACATGAACTAACTTAAAGTGTTCAATTAGCCCCTTATATAGGAGGTTCTGTTCGGCCGTCACCAATTGGGGTGGTTCACGGTGGAATTTTTTGATGACATTTTTGGAGCATCTTCTTCATTAAGTCTAGTTTACCCATACCAAATTTCTGCTAAAAATTCAACCAGGAAAGCAGTCAAATGATTTTTTGAAGATAACTGCGCAGTTAAACAACACAGTACATTTCAAAAAATCATTTGAAAACGTTTCCGATTTAATTTTTAGGTGAAATTTGATACGCCTAAACTATAATTAATTAAGAAGATGCCCCCATTGGCAACGCCGCATAGAACCTCCTAGTTTTGTGTCGTCTTCCTTTACCACTTTTGGCCATTTCCTCTCTGGGAAGAAAGTCAAGAAAGACTGAAAGAGGCATAACATAGTGTTAGAATGTTTGCATCTGTGTGTATCTGAGAATCGACTCAGAGTCGGATCTGATTGGTCCCAAAAATGTGGGCTTTTCCATTTGTAGCAGAAGGTGTTGGTGCAGCTGCCTCTCTTTCATCATCATCATCATCATCAGTTGCTGCCAATTTAATCGCTCTCAACCTATCTGTGAATCTGGGCTTCAACAAAACCCAATTCCAGTCTTTTCCCACTTTCAGTGCTTACTCTTCTCCTGGTTTTCTCTCCCATCTCCCCAGATCAGGTCCAATTTTGCCTCTTTCTTGTCTTTTTTATTTGCACTTATCATTTCCCGACCACTCACAACATATATGTATTCTAATATTTATGGATAAGTTTTTACAGTTCCAATGTGGGACATTTGACTTACAGTGTACATGCATGGTTATACCAGATGCAACATTTTATCTTCTACAGGAGTTATCCGAGGGATGAACTTCAATTGTCTTTTTGTTTTTTTAAAGAATTGACTTTTGTGGAATATTTCCATTATTTCACCCTTTATCGATATGGTTGTATGATGTAATGATGATGATAATATGTGTTGTAGACATGTAGTCTAGTAGAAAATTCTATTATAGTGATACAAGTTAGCATTGATCAACAACAGTTAGAGAATGCTCCATGTATTCTCTCCAAGTCTTAGCCTTTATCCATTTGAAGCCTCAACTGATTTCATAAAAGCTGATGTTTGCTGCTTGAAATACCAATTGATCTGAAATACCAATTTGTCTAGTGGAATAGTATGTTTACAATTACATGTACGGAGTATGTTTCTTTGGATGGAAATTTTGATTCTAATAACCCAACCTGTTTCTTGTCCGCTCATACCAGTCCCACCTTTCGCTTTCTTGAAAATATTAAACCTCTCCAAAGTCCAAACTTCTTTATATAACTGGCCATTTTTACAGTGAACTTATTGTAACATATAATCACAATCCTGCATGAAAATGGTAATAGGCCGACTGGTATAAGAAGGAAGCAAACAAAAGTTGGATTGTTCTCAAGAAAATGAAAGTTAGGACTGTTATGGGTAGACTAGGAAACAGTTGATTTATTAGATTCAAATTTTCCTATATTTGTACTATAACATTGACTAACTTCTCAATTAACCTTTGTCCATAAAACACATTATTTTTGCAAGGCTTGGAAACAAAGAAACTGCGTTCGGATATTCATTAGAAAGTAACATAATTAGTAGCCTTTTGTGTTGGAGGAAGGAAAATGGAATGGTTCTATCGTACGACACTTCATTTGGACTGTGGATCTAACCCTTATTTGGTTGGAGGATTTTGATGGGAAGTGAACGAGAAGAATGATATTTAATTTAAAATTTATTCTTATATCGTATTGTTAAAAGAAAAATTGAAGATACAGAAATTAATTTAAAATTTATTCTTTTGTATTGTTACTAATGAAGAGAAATAAATAAAAGAAAACTTAGTCCTCCACTCCAAAATCCCCAACCAAACTAGCCCTAATAGAAAGCATGTTAACATATCATATATTCATATCATCGTTGGTGTCAATCAATAAATATATTGACTTCTTAGTACACTATTTCTGCCTTGTTGTTTAGGTCATTGTAGGGCTAGTCAAATAGCTGAACTCTTCCCAACGGTGTCGCCTGATATAGTTATTAGAGAGGTGAGGTTGGAAGACTGGTGGGAAGTGGCCGAGACCCATTGCAGCTCCTTCTTCCCAGAATACTCTTTTCCTCTAGATTTTGTGTTAAGGTTAGACAGGCTGATAGGAATGCTTTTTGGATTCTCCATACCTAATGGCTGTGAGAGAACGTGTCTAGTTGCTGTCACCAGAGGAAGCTCAGAGGAAGAAGGTTCCTTCTTATTTGGAAGTAATGAAGAATTCACAATTGGGGGCCTTAATGGAGGAATGAGTCTCATGGATAAAGGTTATGTGTCCGGGATATTGACTGTGGACACTGTCGCTGATTTTCTTCCCCGAAAAGGACCATCGTGGCAGAGAAGGTGATTTTACATATACTAATAAACTGCAAAGTAATGATCAATATGACCAAACAAAGATGGTGAACAAAAATGTGATTTTTATACATAGTGATCACAAATATCTTCAACTTTACAATGACCATGATGGTTTATTTCAGTAGTATTTTATTAGAAAATCCATAGTTGTTCTCTTTCAAGCATCTCTCTTTTCCTATATATATTTGATTTTTTTAGCCAAAAACATTACTGAAATAATCTCCTCAAAGGCAAAGGTATACCTACATAGTCAGGACAGTCACTGCGAAAGTACCACATTGGCCACTACACTTCCCCATGGTCACTACAGTAATGTGTTTTATTGTAGTCATATGTTTGTCATTAACTCATTTTTTTTATTTTTTACTCCCTCCATTCCATGTATAAGATAAATACAAATCTGGTGTGTGCATTAAGAAAATAAAGATGCTGTTTTACAATTCCAATGTCCATAAGAAAAAATAGAATGAGTCCCTAAAAAGTAAAAGGTAAAATGATAGATAAAGAAATAAATAAGTAAATAGTTAGGAGTTAATATAAGAAAGTGTTCATATTGTTGGGACAGTCCAAAACGGAAAATGTATCTATGAAATAAGATAAAGGAGTTTGTGTCATTGTAACTAAGCATTCCAGCCCAGCTGGTTGTGAGGTTACCGTGCCTAGTGAGAGACTGAGAGGTTTCGAGTTCGAAACCCGCTAGGCACATAAGGATTTGAAACTCAATGGAGTGAGTTTCAGCCCTGATTACTCCAGGCCCCCGGCCCCCCTCCCCCAGACCCGCTCGAGTAAAAAAAAGAGTTTGTGTCATTGTTCAAGAGTAGCATTAATTCTATTGCATAAACATGTTTTTTTCGTTGAAAATAGTGTTTTTCGTTCTTAGTCTATGTTATCTATATGATTTTTATTTTTTATTAATGCTATTTACAATGTTCTCTTTATAAACCCTCCATAACATTTGACTTTACTATTTTTTCAAAGTGCTTGATATTTTATTTCTAGAAAGCCAGAGAGGAGTTGTTTGAAATTTGGAATGCCAAAATTTGCAGGGAAGAGACTAAATAGAAAACGATGTGAACAAAAACGATGAATAACGATTTTTTACAAGGACTGGAAACGAATATACAGTACTACGTTCGCACAGACAAAAATATACCAGCCTTTCTCTGCCTTAGTTATATTGCCTCCTAAAAAAATGTCATGCTTCTAATACTTGAGTAGTTTAACATTTTAATCATCTGTAGAAGAGGGATAGCGTACATATCAAATGTTGCTGTTCGGGAGAGCTTCCGTAGGAAGGGCATAGCAAAAATGCTCATTGCAGAAGCTGAGGCTAAGGCCCGTAGCTGGGGATGCCGTGCCATTGCATTACATTGTGATGCCACTAACCCTGGAGCCACAAAACTATACACTGGTCAGGGGTATAAATTCATTAAAGTTCCAGATGGAGCTAACTGGCCTCAACCAAGGATCTCTTCAGATGTTCAATTCAGTTTCATGATGAAGCTTCTTTAAACACTAAAGTCAGATGTAGTAATTAGAAAAGTAATTTATATGTGTAAATACAAGGGACAGCATCTTGGAAGTGCAAGAGTTATATTGTAATGGTTATCCTCTCCAAATTGGAATATTCGTAGAAATAGTGTTTGGTTTCTTTGTTATAACTGAAGCATATTGCTTCCAATATGTGGTCATGTTGTAAAGTTAATTACTACGCCGTATAATTCAGTTTATATTGTTATATACTAACCTTTTTTTTGAATAATTGTTGTCTATTAACCTTTTTTTTTGATGGTATATATTAACCTTGACCAAGTGTATTTTGTGTTGATTTTTGAAGCTAAGGAATAAATAATATTATTACTGTTATAACTACTACTACCAGGGATGTAGCCAGGAGTAAGAGTTGGGCTGGATCGGTACAAAGAATTTTTACAGATAAATTTTTACATTAAAAACGTAAGCAATTTTAAAATTTGGGCTGAGGCGTGGCCCGGTTGGCCACCCCTCCACCTCCGCAGCTCCGCCCCGGACTACTACTAATTTATTATTAGAGTTTTTGCCACTTTTGGTCCCCCGAGTATTGTGTCAGTGACACTTTTGGTACACGACTTTTAATTTTTTCATTTTTAGTCCTCGACTATTGTTCGTGAGACACTTTTAGTCCTCTACTTTCAAGTTTCCCACATTTAGTCCTTTGAGTATTGTCAAATTGACATTTTTAGTCCTTCTACTATGATTTTGACACAATAAGTGGAGGACTAAAAATGTCTCTATAGCAATAGTTGAAGGATCAAATGTGTCACTTCTACAAAAATCGAAGGACTAAATACGGAAATTTTCAAAGACGGATACCAAAAGTGTCTCTCGCACAATAGTCGAGGACTAAAAGTGGAAAAAATAAAAGTCGAGTACCAAAAGTGTCACTGACACAATAGTCGAGGGACTAAAAGTGGCAAAACTCTTATTATTATTGTAAAGCAATTTCACCTAGGGGTGGATTGGGACGGGTCGGCCCGACCTGGGACCTGGCCCGGCCCGATCGAGACCAGACCGGCTTTTTTTTTAACTTTTTGGCATTGGGCTGCCTGCGAGGTGGGTGGGGTTGGGGTGGTTTGGGGATGGGGGATGGGGGATGGGGGGGTTGGAATTTATTCGAAAATATAAAAAAAAAATCATATGGATCCCGACCCGGTCCTGGTACTAACTCGGACCGGTACAAGGCCTGAATTTTTTGGACCCGGAGCACGCCCCGTTCCGGTCCCGGTTCATGCCTAATTTCACCTATTTCATTAGTCTAACTGGGTAACAATGTAACTAGAGCAGATGTGAACTGGGCTTGGATGATGACTAATTCAGTCCTATCTATTACTTGGGTAATTCTATTTAAAGTCTTCAAATTGTTATCCACAACCACTTAATAATTAAATAAAACTAAATAAAAGTAACTCAAATCTCTAAATCACCTTAACTGCTTGGTACTACAAAACGTCAAAACTGGCGTTTCTCCTTTAAAACAACATAATTGGCGTTCCAAGTGATCCATGAGGAAACATCCAATTCATATATTATAAAGAGAATTCCCAAAATAGGAGTAAATGAAGTTTGAAATTCCAAAATAGGATTACTTTGTTTTTATTCCCGAAATGAGACTAACATGACAGTATTTACTGTCATCTTGTAGCCGTGACTGTCAAATAGTTGCAGTACAGTGCATTTAACATGACAGTATTTATTATAATTAATGACAATATTTTTCAATCATGACATTATTTTTCATACATGACACTAATAACTCATATTTCAGGAAGAAAAACATATTAGTCCTATTTTTAGAATTCCAAGTGTCATTTGCTCCTCTTTTGGGTATATTCCCTATATTATACTACCTCTGTCCCTTAAAACTTTGCCAAAATTGACCGGCACGGAGAATATTAAAGTAAAAACTGTGTGGTTGAGATTTGTGCAGAGAAGAGAGAAATAACAGAAACCACAAAATAATTGATTAAAAATGAAAGTGTCAAAGTTTTTTGGGACGTCCCAAAAAGGAAAGATGACAAAGTTTTAAGGGACGGAGGAAGTACCGTTATTAATTATTTCAACATATTTCCAACAGAATCCTCTTATTACCGACCAGCGTTTTGAAGATATTTGGGAAATAAGGCTTAGCCTTTTGATAGCTATAGCCACGTATTTATATTAAATTAGGGAGCATGTTTAGCTCTCCTATTTACAAGGAATACTAGTACAAAAGTATAGATAAGTACAAGTAAATATTAAAGAGATAATTACAAATAATGATTAAATAATATTAATCTATCATGCCCCCGCAAGAGAGAGTGGGCCGGAACGGACACCAAGCTTGGACCGATGGGATAAAAAATGGTGACGAGCAAGTGGCTTGGTGAGAGAATCAGCAAGTTGATCGTGTGTATTAACGTGACTTACACGAAGGTGATCATTGGCAATTTGTTCACGCACAAAATGAAAGTCAATAGCCACGTGCTCATACGAGAGTGGAAAACAGGATTAGCACAAACATAAGTGGCACTCAAATTATCACAATAAACTGTGGGTGGTTGTTGGGCTGGAATGTGAAGCTCTTGGAGAAGATGGCGAATCCACATAAGTTCGGCGGTGGCAGAAGCTATGGCACGGTATTCGGCCTCGATGGATGAGCGAGCAACAGTGGTCTATTTTTTTGAGCTCCAACTAATAGGATTGCGGCCTAAGAAGAGCACATATGCAGACGTTGAGTGACGAGTGTAAGTGTCACCGGCCCAGTCAGCATCTGCAAAGGCATGTAAGGAGAAAGGAGTGTCAGCCGCCAAAAAAATGCCAAAGTGGGGAGTGCCTTTGAGATAACGGAGAACACGTTTGATGGCCTGCCAATGTCCGGAAGAAGGACAATGCATAAATTGTGCTAGTTTGTTGACAATAAAATTGATATTTGGCCGTGTGAAGGACAAATATTGAAGTGCACCAACAATGCTACAATATTCAGTTGCGTCATGTGGAGGAGTCCCATCATGAAGGGTGAGAACATCATTAGGAGAAAGTTGAGTAGGTGTAGGACTAGCATCAACCATATGCGCACAGGTGAGAAGGTCACGTATATACTTCTGTTGAGTGAGAAGAAGGCCTGATGGAGTGCGGAGTGCTTCAAGACCAAGAAAGTAGGATAAGGCATCTAGATCCTTTAAAGAAAACTGGGATGCCAATTTAGTAATAAATGAAGATAAAATGGCAGGTTTGTTGGCGGTGATGATAATGTCGTCCACATAAACCAAGAGCAGGAGAAAGCAACCATCCATATGAAAGATGAAAAGTGAGGTGTCACTTTTACTGTTGTGAAAACCAGATTGTAGAAGATAAGTCCGAAGTTCACGGTACCATGCACGAGGAAACTTGTCGTTTCCAAAAATTGTAGTTTGGATCAGTGGAGGCCGGACACGGAGTGGTGCCATCAACATGGTTAACTGGGATTTCCATGATGAATAATTAGAGCCATCTTTGGAGAGTTTGGTGGGAATTTGGGAGGAAGCATTTAGGGAGATTAGTTGTGGAACTGTATCAGAAGGAATAAGGTTACTGGACGGAGATGGAGAAGACATGTTGATGAATTGCTAGGCTGCCGAAAGCAAAAAAAAAAAAATAGGATCGAATCAATCTAAATGATTGAGGGTTGTGATACCATGAAGATATTTGGGAAATAAGGCTTAGAGCATCTCCAATAGAGATGTGGATTGCACCTCCTAAAAAGTGGACACATCATCCGTGTAAACGGCTTGTGAAGCTAACGTGGATGTATAGAGGGTTGAAATCATTTATCATCTCCAATGGTCCTCATTTTTAATACAACGTTACGTTACAAACTCACGACTAGCTAGGCGGAATATAATACGCACTATACCAATATATACATATGCACACGCCGGAATAGAACGGTGAAATGGGTAGAAGTGCAATTGAAGAAAAAACATATGCAAAGACAGCTTGGAACATAACAATAAGCCTTGGCCAGGGAGAAGAATTAATTGTTTAATCTGAAAAATAAAACTTTCCAATCCCTTCTGAGTTCTTAAAATATCTAAAAATTGACATACACAATGCTTGCTTGGGCTATGTGCTCTTTTTCTGGATACCAGAAACCATCTTGGTAAAAGTCTCCGGCATGAAGGTTTTGGAAGTTGGGAGAGTGAGGATAAATAGATCCGAGAAAGAAGATCACCGGATAAAATAAAGGGGTTGCCCGCCGTTGCCGCTGCCGCCTAGAAGACGAGTGCTGCCGAATCACAAGGAGCTGCGACTTGTGGGATGGTGGTTGTCGCGTTGGCTCGATTGCAGCCAGAAATGAGTTGCCGGATGGGAACAAGATAAATTTTCTAATTTCAATGCTATTTGATTTCAATTGGAGAAGTATAGTGACGCGTTAAAATGTTTTTATAAAAATTTTTGATTTAAAAAATGAATTAAAATCATAATTTGCTGAGTCAACCTTCTAGGAGGCCTTCTGAAAATAGACACTCGTGTTGACGGTGTGCCTTCCAGCTCATAACCACATTTGATATCGACATTCATGTTGGAGAAGAAATTTTTACTTCCTCCTCAATTTTGTTAACGTGGCAGTGCATATTTTAGAATCCAAAGCCCCGTTAAAGATGCTCTTAGCCTTTTGATAGCTATAGCCACATATTTATATTAAATTAGGGAGCATGTTTAGCTCTCCTATTTACAAGGAATACAAGTACAAAGGTATAGATAAGTACAAGTAAATATTAAAGAGATAATTACAAATAATGATTAATTAAATATTAATCTATCACGTTTGAACTTTTCATGAAGAGAGAAATTTTTGAGCTTCCAACTTAACCTAGTAAACAAATTGTATAATAAACGCAAATTATACCGTGTGATCGGTGCACCTTCCTCAAGGTGTACTCATCTCAAAACGGCATCGTTTTGTTAAAAAAATTCAAAACCTCCTCCTACCTCTGGCATCTATGGAGTGCACTCCCGTTGCCGGCGAGTTGCAGAATCCGAAGCCGCCGAGCTACGTCGCCGCCACGTCACTGGAAATCAACACCGTCGAATTGAAAATCACTCCTCGAACTCCTACGCCGCCGCCCAACCCCACCAGACCTAAACGAACAAGAAGAGATGAGAGCAGAGGAAAGAAGAAGAGAAAGCTGCTGCCAAGCTCCGTTTTCGTCCGCTCATCACCGACGTGCCTCGATTCCCAGAAGAAAGAGCCGCTGCGTGAAGAAGACGAAGACCCTGGCTATCCCTGGTTATCTGGTGTGTTTACATCTCCCCTAAAGCTCATTTACATTTAAACATGCTGAAGTTACATTTTGTAACACACGATTTACATTTGAGATAACGCAAGTTACAAAATGATTGAAAATTATTCAATCAAAATGATTTTCTTATTAAAAATTATTTTTAAAGGACCTAATATTAAAAATAAAACATATGCACTTCTTATGTAAAATAATTGAACAAGTAGACTCCTTTTTTGTATTAAACATGAGTTACATTTCAGGGCATAAGTTACATTTGTTGTTAATTGAAGTTACATTTGTAGCAAGACGAGTTACATATAATTATACACAAGTTACATAGTTCATGCTGCTGGGACGAGAAAAAAAAAGTTACTGTACACACGTGTAGTGTTCATGCGATTTTTTTTTAAAAAGTGCAAAACTACGTCGTTTTGGGAGTGGAGCACGGTGCTCACCGTGGGATGCTCCCACGATATACAAACTGGTAATAAACGGGTGCTCAATAGAAGGGTATTTTCCAGTTTCCACCATAGTGAAGCAGAAAGCAAAGAATGACAATTAATCTGATAGGATTCTGATAGGATAAATCTATGGATATTTTTAAATGAAATTTAAAGGGTTTATATTCGAGTATATGAAAGAGTTTAAAGTTTACCCAATGCTCTATTTACTGCTTTCGAATTGCAGGTTGGACAAAAATGGACAGGAAGTGTACTCAAGACTGATTTCTCAGTTATAAGTACACAAGGATATAGTAGGAATTATAAAAGAATTTTACATATTACATAAAATAGGCGAGTATATTTAGAAAATAGATAACTGTAAATAAAATTTCCCCTGTTAATATCAACCAAATAATAATACAGTCTGCAAATCACAAATGAGACTTGATTTCAAATTTGGCCCATAAATAATTTAAGATTTTCCTAATAACAGATTCATAACTCCAAAAAAATAATTCCCGGTATCATTGGTACAAAAAAAGAACATATTCTACACATGAAAATCAAACCAAAAGAGGAAAAAGAATATAAAAGATGAGCATAGTCTAAAAAAAGAATTGAGACTGACAAAGACACAACCTATTACTCTCAAACCTTCGAAGACCTAAACAAACACTAGATTTAAAAAAAAAACTGTTTCCTATCCCCTAAATCCTTCCCTTTTCGATTTTCGCTAATATATGATAATAAAAGCTAGTAATGTTTTTCTACCCTCAAACAGTTCTGTACAATGAACCAATGAAATATGGGACAACCTTAAACACCAAATAACAACAATTTCAACTGCAGCTAGGAAAATTTCCTGCCTAGGAAAACTGTTCTCTGCTTCTTTTCCTCCGGATTTTCATTTGACCTCGGGCTGGGCAATGGTTGGAGTGATCACAACAGCAGGTACTGACCGGTTCCTCATCTCGACTACCTTCTTGTGAGAATTAGAATGCACCGATGGAACGAACGTAGGACTAGCAGCAGGCCTGTACTCCGGAAAGAGTCTCCCCGACTTGTAGCGGACCCCACAAGCATTGCATAGCGTCTTCGGTCCCATGGGACCCGCCCGCCACTGGGGCGTCTTAGTTATCTCACAATGCATACATTTTCTCACCCCCGCCTCACGATCCTCCTTCTGCTGAGGTGGCAATCCTGATGGCATGGAGAATTTAATCTTCCTTTTCTTCTTCTGCTGCTCAGGTGCGGGAGGCTTAGAGTGGAGCTTCTTCTCTTCTGGGCCTGCAAAACTTTGGAGTTGCGGTGGGGACTCGATCAGTTGCATCACGGACCGAGGGTTAAATGACACAGGCCGGGGGCGTTTACTGCGTGCACGCTGCGGGCCACGCTGGTTCGGGCTCAGGGGTGCTACCATAATACCTCCCGAGCTAGAGGAGGAGGAGCTGCTGCTACTGGTGCTGCTGCTGCTCTCAAGGACCGAAATCGGACTAGAGATGGCAGCCTGCAATTTGTTATTACCATGAGACGATGGAGGGAGATAAGGGTTCAGGCGACAGTTCTCCTTGCCAAGGGTGAGTCCTCCACCCGAAAACGACTCCTCCACGAATGTTGAAAGCCATTCGAGCTGTATGATATCCTCGTACTACAAAACAAAATGAAGAACAAGTTAGGATAAAAGCGTGACCAAACAGACAAGTTGATTACGTGTTGAATGGAAAGAACAAAAAGAAGTTTACTATATTCTCAACTTGATAATTCAAACCATGCAAAAGTATTACCCATACACAAAGGAGTATTGATATGTAACATAAACATTTGACAAAACTAACCTATAACAAGATCATGCTTGTAGTAATGTACGACCTCCGTCCCATAAAATTCTTCCCAGTTTGACTTCACACGGAGATTAAGAAAGTAGAAATGTATGGTTGTGGTTGGGTAAGAAAAAGGTGAAATGAACGTGAACCACACAAATTGTCCAAAAATGGTAAGTGAGAAGAATTTTTTGGGACGGCCCAAAAAGGAAAGTGGGAAGAATTTTATGGGACGGAGAGAGTATAAAATAACATTTACCCCGTACTTGAGATTAGATGGGTTTTTGATTGCATATAAATGCATTACTCCACAAGTTTGCTTATTTAGGTGAAATCATTGGTATAAGCACGGTCCATCCGGGGACCAACTCATCCAAATTGAGTACAAAAACTGTTTCCGAAGTACAATTATTTTGTTATAAGTATTTATTACAAATGTACTCCTTCAAAAAAAAATTATCAAGGTATGCCACCATTTTTAAAAAAATACAGATGTTGATCATTGTTTAACAATTTTGACCTTTTTAAAAGAAAAGCCATATGAATCTTACAAAAAAAAGAAGATGATGAAATGATAAATCAAATAAGTATATTATAATGACTTACTACTTGGTTTGATCCTGAAATGAAATAGAGCAATAGTACATATTTTAAATATCTATTTACTATTTTATATTCAGTTTATGTAAGTTTACTTCTTACATGATTTGAAAGTTTGAGATTTTGTTTGGACCGTTAAATTTTCATATGGGGACCCACACAATTATTATAAAATGAGTTGGCTTGCAATACTATCACTGGGTATTCAGCCGGAGGAGTAAACTGTAAACCACGCATGTATGACTTTAATTTACAAAGATGAAAATAATTTTCACAACGACAAATAAAAAGAATACCTAGAAAAAAAAGAAGGAATAAACCCTCTACTCCAATAAGTTCTTCCTTTATAAGTAATTGTTTTTTAAAAGGAAGAATAACATCATGTAGATTTTTTTTTTCAAAAATAATACTCCCCCGTCCCGAAATAAATGTCCTGTTTTCCTTTTCGGTCCGTTCCAAAATAATTGTCTTGTTTCATCTTTTGGCAATAATGGGTGGCTCATATCAATTCATCTTTTTCTACTCAAATCTCAACCATAACTTTTACCTTTTCAACCACTTTCTTAAAACTTGTGCAAAGGCAAACAAGACAATTAATTCGGGACGGAGGGAGCAGTAACCAAACAATTATTTAAATAAAAAATGGACAAGTTAAAATGAAATTAGGTACAACATTTTGAGGACCTAAAAGAAAAATAAAAAAACACATTTTGGAGTGGGTGTTATTTTTATTTTATTTTTTTATTATATGCCTCCCCAAATTTAAGTTTGGACTAGTGGGGGTGTGACTATGAGGGAGACAATACCACATGCGACCATCATAATTTCCAACCAACCATTAGACGAAACATATGATTCATAAATGGCTACATATGCAAACACTATAGCCAGTTTGATTTTCTTAACAGCATAATTTCTACTTTTGAAAAAGAAAATTGCTTTAAACTTATCTAAAAATTTCTGTAAATGTTCATACGAAAAAATGACCATTTTTATTTTAAGACATAAATGTCGATAAGATTATATATTTGAAAATGTCTCATTTAAAATACAGAACATAAGTATCATGTTTTCTGCCAAAATAAAAGTAAATTGTCTTTATCCGGAAAATATATCATCAAAATTTGACATTATTACAAAAAATTAATACTCCGGGTATGATGGTATTAATGTAAATTAATGATATTTTCAAAGCTTGATTGCTTGACATCTTATCAAGGAAAAAGCATAATGCTCCGACTTTTCAACATATTTTGTTCCTATTTGATGACGTTATTATACATTTATACTCCATATTAGTGATTGGTTGAGGAGTATTAGAGCCCACCCCATGTTTTTTGACTTTTAAATCTTATTACACAACTTTTAATTTTTGTTTACGCAGAGTGTATTTGTTAAAGTTATTGTAGATGATCATTTTAACTATTTTATCATATCTTTTTTATATTTTTTGCTAATAAATACCGAGTATATTTTAAATATTTTTTTCATAAATTTCAACAGAATCAGTTGATTATCCAATTTTAGTGTTGCCAAATCGCCCCTTAATTAATATTAGGGTTAATTCCTTTAGTAATTTTTATGCGTTTAAAAAAAGCTTATATTTTTAGTGTAAAAAAATATGTGTAAATTTTTTCAAGAAATAATATTCAGTGAATTTCTCTAAATAAAATGAAAAATAACAAAGCGGACGGCAACCGGAAAAGTTAAGCTCACCGGTACAGAAAGCTCAGCGGAGAGAGCAGAAGCAGAACCGGCGGCGGTGCCGGAGAAAATAGGGTCAGACTCCGGCAACGGCTCTTTCCACATGCTCGGAAAATTAACTCCCTCGCCGGAGCCCAAACCGGCGCACTCGTTCTCCGGCGGAAAGTCGATCAAGTCATCAATGTGATCAAAGAAGCTGCTGCAGTCCATTTCATCAACGTAATTCGAATTCATTTTACCTACAAAAACTTCTCACCTGCCATAAATGAAAACAATCAGTTTTAACCGAAGGGAAAGAAAAGTAAGTACTCTGTATTTTGAAAAAATCCCAACCCCAAAAACTCTTAACCGAAACGGATTTACTTCGTCTGTAAATGGGAAAATATTCAATTCTCCTCCGTGATATTAAATTCTTTCCTTCAAAGTTTTAATTTTAACTTTTATTTCACTCGAAAATTTAAGCTTAATCTAATGTGAATGACCAATTATTCTTTACAATTACTTGAATTTTAAAAGCGGAGAAGATAGCTCAGAGTCTTTGTCTTCCCACAAATTTTAAAATCTGACAATTTTTTGAAATATAAAAGTTACGGAGTTATATTAATCAGCAAAAAAACAATTAATAATTGAATTGATTAAACGGTAATTAAATATGAAATTGGATTTGAATGGAATCCTATCAGCAAAAACGGAATTGACCATGAGCTTTCTCTCTCACTATATATATATATATAATTATATGTATACTTCCACAAAAACAATTATTAGAAAGAAATTCCTTAGCAAATGAAGTGTGGCTGAGCAGAGGGGAGAAGGTTAAATTTTGGTTTGCACCCACTTTTATTCAAATTTAATTTTACACCCCATATCTCAATTAATAAATATCTGCAGCGTGCCGTTACGAAAGTCCTTGGACAGATATTTGTAATTAATAATACTGATAAGGGTGTAAATATTAATAATTTGTAAAATGAGGTGCAAACTCAGCTTTAAAAGAAAAATTGGGGTGCACACCCATAATTTTCCGGATAAAGGGAATTTCGAATTTTGCTCCCAAGTAGTGGAATAATTACGGTTCAGGAGCTCTAATTCCCTAAATTTCCCATTTCAACCAAGAAACTGGTTTTTTTTGTCCGAAACATGTTCTGAAATCCTCTTTTCAAGAAACAGAACAAGTAGCTTAATTTTAAATTTGAAGGCTAGAGAAATGAGATAAAACGAAAAAGAAACAGCCTTTGCAGCTGCAAATCGACATGAAAAACCAGAAAAACGAAATGCGAGGTCAAAGAATGAATCTTTTGCCCCAAAAAACACATCAGAACCAGAGCAGAGAGGCAGAAAATCCCAAAATCTGAAAGAAATCTCCCAAACAGAAAGAATTCCAAGGGAGAAAAAGAACCCAGAAACCAGAAATCAAATCAGACCCATCTGAAGCTGAGGAAGAAAGTACCTTAGAAGTGTGTAGGAGGAGAGTGGAGGAGAAGGGAAGGGGAGTTTGAGATGGAGGAGGAAGAGGGGAATGGAGGGTATGAATGAGGAAGAGAAGGGCTAAAAAAGGGAAGATGAGTGTGGGGTATGGTAGGTTGGGATCTCCCTTCACTCACTGCTAGCTGTCATTTAAGTCTTCTTTACACCTCTCTCTCTGATTAGGGAACGCGATCCCACAGCCCCCTGGCCCACCCAACCATTCTGTCTTAGGAACTCAGTGGAGCTTTTTAATCAACAATTGCACTCTTAATTTACACGTTAGATGAGTCATTCAAGGAGGAAAATAAGGTTAGATATGCTTTTCGTTCGTTGTTGAATGATGATTAGGCTATGGTTGGGTGGGTTTATTTATTTCCCTTCTAAACCAGACCACTTTGGATCATTATACTTCGTATATAATTTTTAAATATATTGGACCAGAAGAGAAATAATTAATATAATTCCATACTTTTATTTTTATTTTGAAACTCTTAATTCGATATTACTAAATTAGTTCTCCTACTATACATTGACATCATTTGGCACAAACTTGACCAGGTGTCTGAAAAAGGATGACACTTCATTTCTGAGGGTCTCTCATAACCGATCGCATAGTTATTTGGGAGAATGTAAATTAAATTTGATCTTACTCTAATGAAAAAAGAGCGGAGTTTCATCTCAAGTCATTGCTTGGAGTTTAACTCGTGTGATCTTGTGACACTCCTTTCCTACCAGGTGAGCTACGCCCAATGTTCAAAAATCGGCCTAGTCGGACTAGTCGAGCCTGACTATAGAGCACTAACCGGTCTAGTCAGCCAAAAAATTGGCCTGATCAACTGAAAAATCGGCCTACTTGGTCAAAAAGTCGGCCTAACACATAGCGAATTTTAGAATAATGGCTATGCCCCCCACTTTGACCCGGTGTCTCAATGATCACCATACGCAGGCCGCGGCCCCTAGTGGCAACGGCCCCAACGACCACCACCCTAGTGACCTGAACTGTCGCCTTATGACTCATCACTATAGTGACCTCACCCGATGCCCTAGTCACATCTCGGCGTCTAGTGACCAGCTGCCTCAATGTGCATTGAACGGCTACCTTGGTCACTAGCCCACTGCTCGACGAGTGGCCTCACCCCCTACTGTTGCCCCGGTTGGTGACCAACGTTACTCGTTACAATTGCACTCTGCTACTGGTCACTCTCCCGATCATTCTACCACCTCACAAGCCCTGCCCTAGCCCATCCCTCCAAAACCCCTTCTTAACCGCTACCCCCTGCCCACACATACCATTGTCTCACTGTTGCAATCTTCGCGTCTCACCCCGCAGACCCATCCAACCACAACTACACCAACCCCAACCTCGTACCATTAACATGACCCCTACCCCCCCCCCCCCCATTAAGATAGAACAAAAAATCGAAAAACCGAAACCGACTGACAAACTGACCGAAACTGAATCGACCAAAACCGAAACCAACTCAAACCGAAACCGACTAAAACCGATTAATCATTGACAGTTCGGTTTACAGTTTCACCTTTTTGGTTAAAAAACCGACAGAACCGAAACCGACTAACAAAAACCGACAAAAACATGCTAAAAGTGACTGCAAACCGACTCAAACATATCGAAATTAACCGAATCAAAACCGAACTGAGCCCGAAATCAAAGAGTGCGGTTCGGTTTACGATTGCACCTTTTGTAAAACCGGAAGTGACCAAACCGAACCAACAAACACCCTTACCTCTCACGGCAAAAAAAATGTCAGCGATTCTTCATCCAAGAACCAAATTTGTCATCGTCGGTTGTCAAATAGGGGCTCATCTTCGGTTGTCAAATAGGGGCTCATCTTCACTGGATCGCTGAAGCACGCCCCCGAGCTCATCGCCATTTTTGCTAAAGAGACTATGAGTATAATTTTAACAACTTAAGCAAATTCAAATGAGTTAGGGTTTAGAGTTTAGCATTTTTCTAAAAATATGATCATATGTTTGGTTTTCCTTAAATAGGACTAATCATTTTAGTTCTACCCGTAATTTATTTAATTAATTAACCTAATTAATTGACTCATAGTTCCCTTGTATAACTAAGGTTAGTATGTTAGTCACGACAGCTGAGCGGGTGTTTCGCAATGTGATGGTTGCAATCGTCCAACCCTATGAATGTATTTTTGTCGAATCATAAATTAAAGACCATACTTATGGCATTTAAACTAGTTGGTCTTAGTTTAGGAAAAACTCTACTCTATCGAGTCACAAAATATTTGTCTTATTTTCCTTTTTGTGATGTCCTAAAATTATTTTTTTGTTTGATCTTTTGACAATAATATGTGATTCATATCAATTCATCTATTTTCTACTCATATCAAAACATGAATTCATACTTTTTAACCACTTTCTTAAAACATGTGCTTAAATAAACAAGACAATTGTTTTTAAAGGATTGGAATATGTTTTAGTCTTATCTAGATAAATCCCCCTTCTTTAAAATACAAAGTATCTAAGTTTTATATAAGAAAAGGTCATTATTATCTACCACAAAATTTTAAAATATATGCATTTTTATGTATTTTTGTTACACTGTCGTTCCTCTTATCGAGAATTTATGCGTCCACCGGTGATTTATTACTAAAAGAAAATTTGATACTCCGTATGTCCTAAACATATCGGATGAAGGATTCCGTGTTTCACATTAATTTGTAGGTTGACGGTATTTATTTATGGGATTTATACGCACATATATACGTCTGTATACACGCACATGCACACTCATGCCTAGCCAAAGTTATAAAACCTCCGGTTCTCTTAGCTTTTTTTAATTATTATTCTTCCTTCTTGCTTTCTTTCCCTTTAAGGAAAATACGGATTAGGGGCTGTCCCCGATTAGAGGATTTTAAAGGAGTTTAGAATTTCGTCAGAATTCAGGTGTCTCTTGTTTGGATTTCTGTGGAATCCATGAAAATAAGAATATTCTCAAATGTTCCGTGGATTTCTGTTGTTACTTATTTGCACGAATTTTAATGAATTTCTATATACAAAAACAATTCACCGCAATCTTGTAGCCACCCCCTTAAATACCACTTCACATATTTTGTGCAAAGGAGGGTTAATTATGCCCTTCGCCTAATGTTTATGCTAATGCCGATAACATAACATAAGTAATGCCGGTTATTTGATAAGCGATATTTTACTTATGATTTTTAAGTTATGATCAATAAGTTGTAATGGATCATAACCGGAGAACATAAAGATCTCAATTAAAATTTTAATCAATGTGAGTAAAGTATTTTGAGTTGAATAATCCTATAATTGTATTTATACTAATCAAATACTAAGTAACTAATACCATAAAAAATACGATATAATTAATAATAAAAGTGACATAAAAAGGTGTTTTTGCATTAATATTATTAAATTGAATTCAAAGGATATAAATATGACTTATTTGAAGAAAAAAAACTCAGAAAAGTGACATACAAACATACGATGACTAGTTCCCAATGGCTTATCGTATATGAGAGACCTTCCACTCTAAACTACATTATACTAACTCTTGTCTAGCTACTGGTACATATTGATTAGTCAGATTTTTGCCCAAAAATATAATTAATCATAAATTTGTCTAGTGAAGTTATGTTAGTAATATACGTAGTATATGTCATTTTTCATGAAACAATGCTATATCTTCTTTTTCCATGATCTTATTTTTTATTTTCAAAATAGAAAAAGAAAAGTAAAACATGTTAGCGATAACACTAATGAGTTACTCTATTTGTTGGTTCGTCCTTAAATAACATTTTTGTTTTAATGTCGAACTTTTTTCAATTTTGGTTTAACATAAATACATAATTGTATGCTTAAGATATGGTTTAAAAGGAGTGAGACAATACCACAAACAAATAAAAATAATATAATCATTTCCTAAAAACTAATAGAAATAATATAATCATTTCCTAAAAACTATATCATCAATTTAAATAATACTCTTACATAAAAGTATTTAAAATATGAAAATCAAATGGAAAAGTTCTTTGAAGAAACAATTTCCTAAATGTATAAAAGTTTTAAATTTCACTCAAATATATAACTAAAATTATTGTCCAAAGTTTATTAGCAGTTACCTAGAAAAGTCAATTTGACCATGTTTTGTGGGATATAGGGAGTACTTACTTAAAACCATTTAAGAAAATTATTAAATAAATGAATAAATAAATAAGTATATAAATAAATAAATAAAAATAAATAAATAAATAAATATGTCATCAATAATCTTATCGGCACCGCAAAATACTTTATGTTATCCTCTTTTGATCTAGTCTTTTTCTCACGTCTCTTAATGACAATGACAAAAATAGCCCTAGCGGTGCCGTCGCTGACGACCTACAAACCTCGAAAGCATCGATCCTTTTTTGAGTCACGACTACCGAATTTACTGAAATGATGGGAAGTGAATGGTAAGCCATTAGTACCAATTCTCCTTATCCTCCTTGTTCATCTTGTAACACCCACCTGATCAAGAGGGCTTTGGTTAACCCGAACCAAATTGCAAATGAGATACACATAAGCGGATTTTGGATTCCAAATAAGGTAAATAACTGAATATGGAATAAATTAAAAGAGTTATATTTGATTTAAGTAAAAAATAATTTTCGAATCAAATGATTTAACTGAATATGTAAGTAACACCAAACAAATAAAATATATTCTACTTGTTGGTCACAACCCTTCCAATCAAGAAGTATATTTATTTTTAAAGCATATCAAAGCTCAAATAAAAACAAGATATAGGGAGAAAGTTTCCCTGACTCTTGACTCTTTGCCTGACTTGGTGACTTCTACTAGATAACATTCACTGCCTGTAGAAAGAATAACTGCATGCTCAATAAAAATTGGCACGAAATCATCGATCGAGATCCTCTGCCTTAAGGCAGAGTGCCTTGCTAAAATGAATGGCAGGGATTAAAACCCACCCCTCGAGATTTGTGTAAAAAATGGGACCCTTCATCACCTATTATCCCTTTTTTGATCTGAGGGCTTAAAATTGTCAGGCACCCTCCAAGTCTGCGTAGTCCAGGCAGAGACGCCGGATCCCGAAATCATATGTGAATCGGGCAACAAAATCAATTCACATAAACAGTGGCAACCAGAAAAATGGCTCAGCGGGGTCGAATATGATAGATCGTTTTTAAACAATGTCTGAGTTCAATATTTCATATGCAGTTTAGA